CAGGCGGGACCCAATTGCAAATTATAAACCAAAGAAAACTAATTTTGTATGCCGATGATCAAGTCATATTTGCGTCCTCGGCGGCCGAGTTGCGAATAATTGTTACATTAATGAACAGCTCAGTAAAAGAAAGGGCAATGAAAGTGAACGCAAGTAAGACGAAAGTGATGATTTTTGAAAGAGAAGAAAGTAAAACGATATGTGAAATAAGAATAGAAGGGAAGTTGGTTAAGCAAGTGGATGCGTTTGTGTATTTGAGATGTGTACAGGGATTTTAGATATGATAAGGATATAGAACGACGAGTGAACGCAAGAAATAGAGTAAATGGGGCTCTACATTATATTGTCGAAAGGCCGAATGTGTCAAAAAAGGCACGTATGGCGATTCACAATTCCCTACTTTAATGTTTGGTAGTGTAAGTCGGGCGTGGCAGAAGAAGCACGAAAGTATAATAAATGCCGTGGAAATTCGGTCATTTAGGAGTACGTTAGAGCTGGACAGGGTGAGAAATTATGTGATAAGAGAAAAGTGTGGTTTACAAGATGATGTTATGAAGGAATACATCGGTGGTCTGGTCATGTAGAAATAATGAACGAGGAAAGAGTGGCAAAGCAAATTTATGCTGCAGATATGAACGGCAGAGTCGGGAAGGGACGCCCTAGACGAAGGTTTATAGACCAAATTGACGAATTTTATACGTGGTAGAGTCATGCTGCAGCTATATTAGTAGTATAGTTGTAGCACGAATGGGTCGGCTCGACCGGGGAAGGACCACGCTCTCACAGAAAACCAGCGTCAAATAGCAGCTTAACACTGCTGTGTTTCGATGGTGAGTGTAGAGAACTGGAGACCCTTTTTACTGGAAAAGAGGCATTCCATCTTAGTCCTCACGGGTGACAACGCATCTGCATTTTGATTCGCAAACGAGGATAAATGTAGATGTTTATGGGCCACAGCAACCACTTAATATCAGGTGGACTGTGTGCTCGCTTGTCACCCTATCCTATAAAAAAAACGATATATTGAAAATTGGCCAGATTAGGAGTACCCTTAACCTTGCCGGTTACGTATGCGTAGATACTCGTATATGGATGTAAATGTATGTATGAGGTATGTCAGGATCGTGTCGAATGGATGTCCGTAGTCTCTGCCTACCCCTCTGGGTGACAGGCGTGAGTGTTTATGTATGTATGTACTTTGACTTTAACAGAATCAAAATACAAGTAGGACAACAGAATATAAGTACATAAAGTAGGTATCACCGGGAATCCTAATTGTTATGCTGAAATTAAGACGTTAGTTTAAATAACGGAATTCAATTTTAAATGCTCGTAATAATATTATTAGAAAGCAAAATAATAACGATAACTAAGCTGTAGAAAATACCAATTATTTAAGACTTCATGGAAACTCATAATTCAAAAGCATTTGAAAAAGACCGGCGACCGTTAAAACTGGGCCAACTATTCAAAGCTTACCGGGAGCGCTTTGCACAAGAAAAATGTAACGGGCTAAAAAGAGTTTTAACGTTCTATTTTTAATAGAATGTAGATGTATCAACATTGAAAGCTGTGGTTTTGTAAATGCGGATCTGATACAAAAATAAGTCTGAACTTGGAACTGAGAAACTGGTTCTTTATACCTAACGTTATGGTGTCCACTCAGCTAGTAATATCTACCAGACGGTAAGTAGCTTCTGTAGCCCATGGACATCTGCAACCAACTTCAAGAACCTTTTCTTGAAGTTGGTAGCTTATGTCCATGGGCAGGCCACAGAGATTCGTTGGTACATCAAAACCTGACATGAAATGTCCTAAACTCCTTTGGGTTTATAATATTTACAATTAAAGCTATGTAGTAGCGAATGTTTTTCGCTCAACACGCGTGTGCGCACTCACACACACACACACACACACACGCACCACGCACGCACATACGCAAACACGCACACAACACACACACACACACACACACACACACACACACACACACACACACAACAAAATTATTTGCAATGTTTAAGGAGTATAGAGGTATAGAGGCGTGTGGACGTGTTCTTACAATAAATGTTGTCTTACAATAAATAATTGTTGTGTTGAGCATGGTTTCGGCGTCACATGAAATTTTACATACTTATATTAATTTTTGTATTCTGGTCTTTGAAGGTTAACACTATAAAGTGTAAATTAATTAATAATATAAGTCAGTCATAACGTAATACCTAAATAGCGTTTGCGTGATTTCTATGCCGATCATAACCGTTAGTTGTCTTACAATAAAGATGAATTAAATGAATTGACAAATTGCCTTATTTGACGAATATCCTGTTACGAGTAACTAGGTTTTTCAGTTCTCGTCGCTCACCAATTAGCGGGAGCAATATAATTACCATTTTAAGATGATATTCTGTGCGAGCATGGTTCTTTCCCAGTGTAGCTGACTTAATACGGTCTACTGCCTGCCTGCCTGCCTACAGGTAGACCCACAAAACATATTTATAAGATATAATCTCATACCCGTGATACACGTAATATTAAGAGTTTAATTAATAAAAACAAAAATGTATAAGATACGCTTAGTAACACAGAAATATTTGGCCATGGCGCGCAGACGAATATAATTTCTGTGAATGTGTGCATTGTATTTTTAGCAGATAACGCATCTCAATCAAATTCAAAGATGATTTAGGATTTTCATCAAATACCTCCGACTAATAATTTCTAATTTCTATATTTCATTCACATGTAGGTACCTACTTTGCCTCTTAATATAACTATCAAAGAATATAGGATTAAGGTGTCATTTGTGTATAACGAGGCATTCATATGCTGTTGTTAAGTCTATATAGACTAGATAATTGTTGTAATTATTTTGCTCGGGGCTTACCCACCATGTCGGATCTCGATGAAGATAGGAGCTCACGAGGCCCAGAGAAACCCCTCTTGGCGAAATATATACGAGTATATATATTTATCATAGTCCTCAGGGATGACAACTGACAACACATCTGCATTGTTCGACCTACAACATCCTCTTACCTACAGACTACAGATGAAGTGTTTGCTCGTTTGTCACCCTCCTTTTTAGTTGTCGTCATCTATACTTCTATAAAAATAACTCAATAATGGCGGAAAACTCATCCGAAAGCAGTATCGTTCTTGGAGCAGTGCACCAGTGTGAAGCCTTGTGCTCATCAACGTTGCGATGCCTCATAACTATTCGGATTCTAAGCCCTATACGCCAATACTTTATAGCGAGTTACAAAGGTTTGGTAGACCGTGTAGTGGCGGTGTAAGAATATCCACTACCTACCCCATACCATACCGTGGGTGACGTGAAGGCGACAGAGAGCAACAAGTGTGGAGATCAGCAGGAGCGTATTCCTAATAACAATTAAAAAATAAAAAATAAACCGAGGTCTGTAATACGCCTGCCAAGCGTGGTAACTATGGCAAATAACCTCTTTAGAGGAAATCTATTGGGGAGGTCTATGTTCAGCGGTTTTTGATAGGCTGTATCGGGTTTACCCATAAGAAGTAAGACTATAAAAAAATATGAAAATATGAAAGTAGAAGAATGCGGGTTAAGAATGGGTGAGTTAACCGTCAAATGCCTTTTGTACGCCGATGATCAAGTCATACTTGCATCGTCGGCAGCCGAGTTGCAAATGATGGTTACATTAATGAACAGGACATTAAAAGAAAAGGGAATGAAAGTGAACGCAAGTAAGACGAAAGTTATGGTTTTTGAAAGAGAAGAAAGTAAAACGATATGTGAAATAAGAATAGAAGGGGAGTTGGTAGAGCAAGTAGATGAGTTTGTATATTTGGGATGTGTGTTTAGCAGGGATGGTAGATATGATAAGGATATAGAATGACGAGTGAATGCAGGAAATAGAGTGAATGGGGCTCTACACTCTATTGTGAAAAGTCAGAATGTGTCCAAAAAGGCACGTAATGCAATTCACAATGCTGTGTTAGTACCTACTTTAATGTATGGTAGTGAAAGTTGGGTGTGGCAGAAGAAGCATGAGAGTAGAATAAATGCTGTAGAAATGCGGTCATTAAGGAGTATGTTAGGGATGAAGCTGAATGACAGAGTGAGAAATTGTTTAATAAGAGAAGAGTGTGGTTTGCAAGATTATGTTGTGACCAGGATTAAGAAAGGAATGCTTCGGTGGTTTGGCCATGTAGAAAGAATGAATGAGGAAAGAGTGACAAAGCAAATTTATGTTGCAGAGGTGAACGGCTTAGTCGGGAAGGGTCGCCCTAGGCGAAAGTTTATCGACCAAATTGGCGATATATTAAAAATGGGCCAAATCAAGAGTACCTTTAACCGACGGGCGTGTATGCGTAGGTATATGGATGTGGAGGAAGCGAGAGAGGTGTGTCAGGATCGTGCCAAATGGAAGTCCATAATCTCTGCCAACCCCTCTGGGTGACAGGCGTGAGTGTTTATGTATTATGTTATGTATTATGTAAGTAAGACTATAATTAACTAACCATAAATATTAATTAATTTAATATTTATGTTTAGTTTTTTTAAATAAGTATTATTTTTAAAATAAATTAGAAAAATTTGTAGAGCGAATATGATACGAATAACTGAGGTCCTAATTACTACAGCGGTAAAAATAATTTAAAATTAAAAATTTTCTGCAACCGTCTTCAATATAAATTATTAAGAATAACTCAAAAACTATTGGTCAGACCTTGATCAAATTTATACGGAACCACATGAGAAGCACCTGTTTTGATATAAAAACAGAATCATCGAAATCGGTTCACCCAGAAAAAACGTATGAGGTAACACACATAAAAAAAGAAAAAAGAAGAAAAAAACATACAGTCGAATTGAGTACCGTCTCCTTTTTGAAGTCGGTAGAAAAGGGAATAAAGTGGAATATTTTGATGAAAGCAAAATGTCTGAATAAAAAGTGTAAACAGTTAACTAATTATTATAATATTAATATAATACAAAACAAATATAAATCACGTACCCGGTAGCTTGGCCTTCACACATTTGGGTATCGGGAGCCCCTGTCCAGGACCCAAAGACTCTTCGGCCAGTCGGTTCAGAGCTGGCGCAAGTTCAGTATAGAAAAGTATTTCCCGTGTATCAAATTGAGCTTCAGCTACAAAAAGCCTCCCGAAGGGATCCCGAGGTGGTAGCTTTACAACCAGGGGCAAAGCTACGCGCTCGCCGTCGCTCTCATAACGTACTGTGACAGCAAGAACCCTGCTTAGGGCTCCGGCAACGCCCGCTCGAGATTCTACCCGTACCTGTTATATTAAAACAATTATAAATTACATTCACTCATTCATTAATTATAGTCCGTCAAAAACCAACTGCTGCTGCTGCAACGTACCCATAGATTATCTCATATTTGCCATAGTTCCTACGCTAGGCAGGCGGGTTGGCAACCGCAGATTTTTATATAAGTAAGCAATGTTTTTATTCTTTGCGTGGTAGAGCCATGCCGCAGCTATATTAGTAGTATAGTTGTAGCACGAATGCGTCGACTAAACCGGGGAAGGACCACGCTCTCACAGAAAACCAGCGTAAAATAGCAGCTTAACGCTGCTGTGTTTCGTATGGTGAGTGTAGAGAACCGGAGACCCTTTTTACTGGCAAAGAGGCATTCTATCTTAGTCCTCACGGGTGACAACGCATTTGCATCTTCAGTCTTTATTGAGGATAGATGTCTATGGGTGACAGAACAGACAGTTTTAACAGTGGTAGAGCCACGCGGCGGCTTTTGCTGTCGCACGGATGGGCCGGCTCGAACCGGGGTGGTACCACGACCTCACAGAATACCAACGTGAAGTAGAGATTTGCCTCTGCGTTTCGCTTGGTGAGTGCAGGTGGCCGGAGGCTCTTCTTACTGGAAATGAGGCATTCCATCTTAGTCCTCACGGGTGACAACGCATCTGCATTTTGATTCGCAAACGAGGATAGATGTAGATGTCTATGGGCCGCAGCAACCACTTACCATCAGGTGGACTGTGTGCTCGTTTGTCACCCTTATCTTATTAAAAAAAAAAGTAACCACTTACCATCAGGTGGACTGTGTGCTCGTTTGTCACCCTATCCTATAAAAAAATGTCCTCCAGACCAAATTTCGATTACGGTGGCGATCAGTCTCAACGTAGATTAGCCATCTGCGCAGGACAGGATTATAGTGCCCGAGTGTATGCGCAAGCACAGGTGCACTCTCTATTCCTTTGCTCTCGTAGTCCGATGGAACGATTACACAACACGACCGGAGAGAGATCAGGCGCGGAATCAACGGCTTTACTTTTCGAGGCACGGGGGTGAAACACCGCCAACTTCCTGAGTCCGAGTTGCTACTGAGAATGTCTTGACAGAAAAAAAAATAACTAAATTTTCGCCAAGCCCGGTTTTCGAACTCGGGAGCTCATGATCAATCGCGTTTACGATCGCTAGACCACGATGCAGTCTATACTGCCATGTTTCATACCTATTAATATAATAAGGGACGAGAACCGGAGGCCACGCACCTTCGTTGTGATTCTTAATCAAGGATTCAAGGATAGATATGGATAAGACAGAGACAGGATACAACCCAAAGCCGATAGCCTCGCAATGGTAATATTAATATCCCATTACTATAGTCTATTATATATTAGTGTTTACTGTTTGTGAAAAGGTTTTCCGCTATCAGTTCGGTCATCAGAGATTGACAGAGACAGATCTCTTCCGCCAAGTAGCAGTGTGCATCACGTGTAGGTAAGGGCGTTTGGGGGGAAAAAGCATGGTATATCCCTCCATAAGAAGTTACAAATAAAAATAATAAAAATGTGTATAAGTACTGAATAAACTCTTTAATAAATTCATTCTTATCTACACGCTATTTCTTTCATGTTTTCTTCCTTTCTTCGTACACAGTAAGGGTTAAAAAATATCTTCATTTAAGATAAGTACTGAATATGAAATATGGGTAAGTACCTATATATGAAATTATTTAGAAAGAGAGAACTAATAAATAAAACACACAAACAGTTCATAATAGAACTAAAAGTAAGACCATTAGCAAAGTTGTTATAAGACTGTTTAATTGCTGCTTACTCATTCGACCAATTCAACGTTTAACGAGAGCATAATTACTTACATCATAAAAAAGTTTTAATTAATCTCTGGATATTTAAGTATAGCTTTCATTACACTGTTTATTTCCTTTAAGTTTTATTCGTGAATAACACTTTTGTGATGTATAATATCGTATAAAAAAAAAATTACCTCCTGCGGTCCGACCACGCCCGACCCGATCAGTAGCTCCCTCGCCCATTCCTCAGTAAGCGCCGTATCAGTGTCGGCCTCTGGTCCCGGCTCACAGTCCGACTCTTCGCTGCCACTGCTGGGGGCTTCGGAGATCGCTGCGCTATCCGGCCCCCCGGCTTGCATCTTACGCACTGCGTCAGTCACACTTAACGTACAATTTAAAAAGTTTTACACATCTTAGGCGCCTAACATTAAATAATTATAACATAAATTTAACTAAAGATTTAGCGTTTGCAAAAGTTAGGAGCGTATGTATTATAAGTGTCGTATACGGAGCAATAAATGCCGTCCCTGCCTTAGCAGATCGCGCATGCGTCATCCCTTCCTCTATTATTCATTGGAACTCCCGTGAGCCCGTGACGTGTCGCTCACCGCTCAATGCGAATTGAGAATGCTTAGCTATTTGATTGATGCACATACCAACAAGAAAGTGCTTCGCATATATAAAATGTATACCTATAATTTTCAGCAACTTTTAATTAATAATTATAGCTTCGTTACTGAGAACTCCAGGATGAGTCAGATGTGGAAATTATTTATTTAATTCTTAAAAGTTCTTTGAAGGCGGCTTTTACTTATTGTTTAAAGTTTAATTTATTGACCATAATAAGTGGACTAAAGAATGTCACAAACTCGAATGTCATCTAAATATTTACGTTAAAACTTCATCCCCTATTATTTTACCCTTAGGGGTTGAATTTATCTTCTAAATTATATGGGCCGTGGCCACCCTTGGAGTTTTTATAAGCATAGCTTACTTATTTATATAACCACCCGTAAAGTATAAACTATTTAATAAAGAAAGAATCATTAAAATCGGTTTACAATTGTGGAAGATATTAAACATGTATGCATGAAAACATGTATGCAAAAGAACATACAGTCTAATTGAGAACTTTCTCCTTTTTTGAAGTCGATTAAAAATTTATAAGTTCCGATACTAACGACGGTCTGGGTTGACGACTTCATCGTTATAAGAGTTGGCGTCTGAACGGGTGCCAAGCTGCCAAGTTCCGTAGCAGTCGGCAGATAATTAAATCATAGCTATATGACTTTACAACATTCTTCAATTGATTAAAATAAAATTTGTAACGTTCTTCTATATTTATATCCTTCTTTCTTTTTAAAAAATCTTTTTTCTTTATATTGAGTTTATAACTTAATATAAAGAAAAGCAAGCAAAATAATTAATTTATTAGTTTATTACAGCCTATCGAAGTAAATAGGCATCCCCCAATCTATCTCGAGAGGAGGATCGCCATAGTTTCTGCGCTTGCTATACGTCATCTCGTACCGCAGTATTTTTATTAATACGAGTTGTTATCAGGAAGATGTTAATTCTATGTGAAAAGCACGGCTTTGTGCAGTTTGTGCACTTAGTGCAACTGCACTCTCCCACTTCATGTAAAATCTGACCTTTTGTTACGCTAAGGAAGTATAACTTCTTACGTGTGTACATAAGTACACACCCACACGTTTTGTTTTATATCAATGTGAACAAAGTTAAAAAGTTATAACGCACACAATAAAATGAATATTGACAGAGTAGTGGGAAAATGAATATTTTTGCTTCTATACCTTTGTTTACTGTACAATAATATTGTACAGTAAACAAAGGTATGGAGAGTGGATGGAGATGCTTGATCCCATATTATTATCCCATATTATAGTATTTTTAATATAAAATAATAATGATTAGTTGAGTAAAAATTAAATAAACTGTTTTAAAAATCAATACTTATTTATTATTAATTGGTATATATAGGAACGTTCTGCATATAATTGATCACAAATGGTAAGTTATACAAGCATGTACGGTCCCGCTGGATATCATATTGAATTTTTTTATTCAGATTTTAAATGATAAATTGTAGTGTTATGCTACTTACATATCATTTTACATTATATTAAATTCATTTTTCCATTCTGTTTCGATTTTCTGCATTCACCTCAAAACTGGATATTTTACATCACCTTTATTTCCATAGGATCCTGTAACGATTTTAAACCATAAGAACACAATAACAAATCATTTCTACTTCGTATTTTCACATTATCAGCACTTTTAAATTGGTGTCAATGGAGTCTACCTTTTTTCGATCTTTTAGCTAGTTTTCCGTAACTCTACAATCTTGGGCTTTGTGTGGGCAGCTGCGCTACCTTTTTTCCTATATAAATAATATCTCATTTTCCACTTAAATCTTACCGTTTTCTTATAATAAACCTAAAACCAAAATTTGACATGTTTTGATATTGTTATTTATTTCGTTTCCATAGTAATTATATTCAAATTTGCTACCGATCTGTTGTTCCTATTTCGATAATTCCACATAAATACTCTTTTCTCTTGACCATTTACAAAAAATTTGCGTTTAATTTAAATAATTTTTCCGTTCTCTCTAGAAAGGTATAAAAGCCGAACAATCGGTGAAGAAAGGCAGTCTCGCTTCAGTTCGCGAATTGGAAGTATCTCCTAAAGGCCTTATCCCGGGGCCGCACTGCCCCGGGATCCTGCAAGCCTCCACCTACACGTGAAGTCTTCGGCGAAGCCTTCTTCAAGCGCGGAGCCTCACCACTCCGGAATCCTACAAGCCTCCATCTACCTCGGAAGTCGTCGGCAGTCTACTTCAAGCGCGGGGGCCACACTACTCCGAGCGCTACGACTGCTTACTCCAGGCGCCGAGTGCACCTACCGCCGGCGCTACCTTTGGGCGCTGCAACTGCTGGCTCTAAGCGTTGAGCGCCCCTTCTCCAGGCGCTACGTGCGCCGGCTCCGGACGCTGCGTGTGCTGGCTCCAGGCGCTGCGCGCCGTCGCTGCTAAGAAACCTACCTCTACAAGCGCAACCGGCGTGTGCTGGCTTCAAGCGCTGCGTGCCGTTGCTGCTAAGAAACCTACCTCTACAATCGCAACGTGTGTCGCTTCGACTTTTAGGCTCCACATCTCTATATTCCCCTATTCTCCTACCTTTATTTTTTTTTTGTAATCTAATCGTACTCTCACTTCATTCATCATCATCCTCATTTCATTTTTTTTATAAAATTGTAAATACCTTTTAAAAATTTAAATATATTGTTTTCTGGCTCTACTTTTGTTGTTTTGTTGTACTTAGGTTAGGTTCTATATTTTTTTTAATTGTCGCTTCACGACAAAATATTACTATTTTTCGCAGGTACATTAATTTTGTTCATTTAAAATTCGAAAATCTGGCATGATCATGAAACGGTGAATAAAATATGATATCCAGGATTTATAAACTATTATTATTAATAATATATACATTTCTGAACAAAATTAATTTATTAAAATAATTTCTATATGACACCATAGATAAGTGTGTACGACACTATGTCACTGCTTTTTGACAGTTTGACAGCAGATCTAGGTACCACAAAACTTGGCGCTTAACTTGGCGGAGCAGTCACGCATGGATGAGCTAATGACGTCACACCAAAGTATTACCAAAATAAGCATTTTACAAACTGTAGTTGTCTCTCTTTTCTATTGCAGCTACTGCTTTGTTAAAAAGAGACAAAACTGTTCTTGACAAGTGTGTGTCGATATTATAGATATTTGTATAACTATTATTTCTATAGTGGCTATGTATCTCTCTCCATATATATATATATATATATCTCCATAGGTATGTATCTCTATGCTCGAGTCACATCACTAATTGTATTTACTATCTATATTCTATACCTTCATTTTATGGAGTGTAGAGTAGAAGGAGGACCATCTCTGTATATAAAGTGTCCCTAAAAACGCGTCCAATAAGGGTGGCGCTGCAGTAGCATAGGATAAATTTAAAAAAAAGCGCCAAAATTTATTAGAATAAGATGGAGAAATAAACAAGGACCGACCAATCCGCTTGGTTTTGTACTACGTAAATAGTTGAGGTTTTGTATACTGGCATCTTACTAACTACTCTACTCATGAAATTTTATAAATATTTTAATTCAGCTGACTTCACTCCGTCTACAACAGCTATATTCATATCGTAGTTTTTCAGACGACAGCACTATTGTGGTAGGTTTTAGAACCTCTATTTTCAGTATATATTGGGACACTTTTTCAACTTTCGCACCTTATAAGATGGTTCTCCTTCTACTCTACACTCCATACTTCATTTGGACAGTTACTATACTCTTTGACCTACATCCACAAACTATATAGAAACTGCCTACATCTTTCTAGCTTGATGCATATACGGATGTGACATTGAGTGAAAAAATCGATTAATAAAAAATCGATTTTTTGCTTTGTGATAATAATCGATTTAAGAAAAATCGATTTTTTTTATAAAAAAATAATCGATTTCTGCAAAAAAAAATATTTTATTCGAAAAATAATCTTCTGGTTTAAGAAATAAACTACAGAACAATTTTTTTAACATATAACTTTGAACAATAAAAAACTAAAAATAATTACTATCACAAATGTTCAGTGCCATTTAACAATTTATTACAACCAAAATAAACAGAAACGATAAATTAAACTAAGTTTTACGGATTTTATCGCGTTTAATTTAACTTTTTAATTCCCGACATTTCAGGTGCTTTACAGCACGCATGGTCACAGAGGGGACTGAGGTGTTTGACGTCCCTATAGTTGAACCACAAATCCTCGCAAAAGAACACCGATTCCTACCAAGGATGATTTGCGAGGCTATCGAAATTAAAAAACATCCTAATTTCAATAGAGAAGATGGGTGGGTGCTGCCATCTGCTTGGCATCCTATAATTAATAAAATTAAATCCAAACTCAAGCATACCACTGTAAGACTTCAAGATACTGTAAGCTCATTCTGCGTAGATCCACCAGGCTAACTATGACATCTGGACGTCAAAGACCTCAATTCCCCCCGTGACCATGGGTGCTGTGAAGCACCCGAAACGTCAGGAATTAAAAAGTTAAATTAAGCGTGATCAAATCCGTAAAAATTAATTTCATTTAATGTGTAGTCTTCGCATAAATATAAGAAAACATTAAGAAACCATAATTTTAGTAAACGATAGTTTTTTCTTAAACTAAGTTTGAACAAACAAAAAGTCTAAATATCATTATGCCACTAATGTTCAGTATCATTTACATTGGATTAGAATGAAAATAAAATAAAAATAT